ATCAGAACTGTATTATGATATCAACAATCAATTTGGAGTGGTAGAAGTTGCTTCCTAGCTCGTTTGCTTCCATATGTACTCGCTACTTGCAGTTCAGGCAAAGTAGTCAAAACTCAACACACTCTGGTTGACTTCTCTTCTCTGTTTAACCTGCATTTCTCATGTGTAGAAATACACATTGCCATTGACAACAAAGAACAACCATTACAAACCTGTTCTCAAGTCCTACATTACAGTCATGGACAAACTTCAATAAGTTTTCAGCTGTTTCACTGGTGAAACATTTGTTTACAAATTCATTGAATTTGGAAAGTTTCAAGGGATAAACTGCAAAAGATGCATCCTATCTTAAAATTTAATTTACTAGATTTTGTAGGTCAATTGAAACAACAGATCCTTACAGTTCACACCCAGACATGAATCTGTAAAGATCAGTTACAGAAAAGTAAACAGAAGTTCTACAAAACAGATGACCAGGTATGACTCAACAGGACTGCATCTCAAGACACAAATTCAAATTCAATTGCAGGGGACAGGGAAATGAAGAGAAAACTGAGTACACTGTCCAGAGGAGAGGGTTGGTAACCCAAGTTTTCAAAACGCCATAGGCAGGAATGCATCACGAGGAAAGATGTCAGGGTACCGGTCGCGAGACAATGCTGAAAGATATACACATGCTGTACGCACCAACTCCAATATTTCCAATGGAGACAAATTACTGAGCAGAGAAATCGGACACGCTCGCCTGAGACTAAGAACTTCCATGGCAGAAAAACTCTATCAAATCATTGGAGGATGGCCCGCAGGTCAAGGAAGCAGAAAAAAACCGGATAGTTTGTTGTCTAGCTGCCTTCAAAACAACGCAGACTGGACGCAGCGCGCCAGCACAGTATGCAATGTACACGGACAAACAGGAGACATGATTTCCCAACTTCGAGAGAGTACAGAAAAAACTGACTGAAGTGTTTCCCAGACATGTTTGCTGATTGGATTCCCATGAATTGCCACGAGCACCAGCAAACACGTACCTTCGAGTATGGGAGAAAATAACGTGTTGATTTGAAAGGAGAGGAAAGAGCCTCAACTGCAGTATCAACTACCGCAGTATACATGTACATCTGTAGTTTGATATCCATGTGGGAAAGTGATCTGTTGTTTCTCAAGTGTTTGACGTATGTCTTGAAACTGCAGAAAGTTTGTAAGAACTTTACTTTATGACACGAATATTATGAAGTTCACGTATGCTTGATGTACATGCATATGAAAAGGTAATCTTTTCATTCTGTATTGAAGGCAGAACTTGTCTATTTTTGTGTGTTTATGTGGGGAAGGGACAGGCGAGGGATTAGAAAATGTGCAAAACATTTGCTAATGCCCTTTAGCAGGCACGTTAAAGTTGCGTTCCCTGTGTTATTTTCAAGTTTCACCTTGAAAAATAGATTAGTATTAGTTTTCTTTAATGTGCTATTTTCCTGGCAGTTAGTTATTCACATCGAAAGACCATGTCCAAATGTACAAATTTGGTAAAATTGAGAGTTAGTTGTGACAAGTGTATAGCTTTAAATGTAAGTCAAGTTTAATTCTTTTCTGTTGACATATTACGCAAGACACCTTCTGTGTAGCACCCACGGCTGTTCTGCCTTGTTAAAATATGTTTGTGCTTCGTCATTACCCATGCCATAGGAAGACATTGGTTTTTTCTGTTTTCATCTTGCAGGTCATGACTATTTAATATGTTTTCATTTCTAATTTAACTTTAATAACTTTAATTTAATCTAAGTGTAAGTTTATCATGTTGATACGAGATTTCTTCGTGTAAAATAAGAAATTAGAGAGAGAGTTTTTTTGCCCTGAAGACTAAGATCACTGATGTGTGGATTTCAAAGTCTAAAATCTGACACCAATACATTTTGTAGTTTCAGGTTATACTTTATTCTCACTTTCCTTTTAGCCCCTAATTCAATTAATTTAAATTTGATGTTGTTTGATTTGTTAGATTATATTTTCATTACTTTATTTGGTTTACTCCAGGCAAATGCCAAGATGGCGGCCCAAGAACAGTTTTGGCAGGAACCTCAAGTTTTAATTTACACGTATATTCATATTATTTCAACCTGTTTGTAAATAGCACCTCAATTACATTTTTAAATTATTTACTTAATATATTTAATGCTTACTTTTTCATTTAAAGTCTAAACATTTTTTCATTTTATTTCTGATGATTACCCTTGTCATACGAAGACCTGACAAAGTATTTTGTCTTCGTCTTGCAAGAATTAAATTAAACCGCTAACAGAAGCCAATTTGCCATTTCCTCAATATTGCCCATTTCAAAACAACTCGTACATGAGTTTTTTAGAAAGATACGGTAGTTTTATAATCTAGAAATTAAATTGTACACATTATCACTGTTGGTTTCCCTCTTGCACCTATCCCATGATACCTTTGTAGATTACCTCCTATCATCCTTACAGGATCCAAATTTAGCACGTTGCGGACTGCAGCTGCCCTTTAATGAGTCACCCTGATTGACCACCCACCCTCATCAACACGCTGAGGCTACAGACAATCCGTCTTCCGTCCAACCAACAACAGAATACATTTAAACTTGGCCTACATCTTTCCCTCTACTCTGCTTTATCCCCTCCCACCCCAATCAATACAACTGCACTATGCCTCGTATTCAACAGCATGCATCAAATGCCTTTGCTTAATCAGAGTTGCCTCACACACTTAGGTATTCCTGCTCCTGCTGCAACAATCAATGGCCCTCGGTCTCTTGATGACTAACGTTGCAATCGGGACAGCAAAATTCTTGTCGTATTTTTGTTTTGCTACGTTTCCGTAATACAAGAATCAAGTAGCGATCTGCAGAGATACTTGCTTTTCTGTTAAATCAGCCTTGTTTAGGAGGGATTCTTTTTTCTCCCTCCCCCTGCAATTTTTTTTATCAGAGTCACTGTTAAATCTGAAATTTACAGAAACTTCGGTGCATTCCTCATATTTGTTCAAGTGAGTAAAACAGAATTCCCATTTGAAGTAGTTTTGCAAATACATTTTATTTTTATGACATGTACCCGGTACTTAATAAAAATAAAATATGCATGGTACAACACACAGTGAGCAGAAATATTGCTCAGTAAAAACATTAGTACACAATGTACATACTTTATGCATACCGGTGCATAAAGATTTAAGTGTATGTCAACATCCATATCACCCAGAGCTAATCTATTCTCCTTCACATACCATCCCAATCCATTGATATACATGCTCCTTAAGTCTACAGTTCATGAGATAATTTGGTCAAATAGTACACTAAAGTGTCTTCAAGGAAAAATTGAACCAACAAACAAACAAATCTGCCGATGACGCATGGGAGAGACTAAGATCCTCTTGATGAATGGATTATTCAGAAAAAAATTAGGTCGACAAAAATAGCACTGAAAGTGAAGGGTGAATGGTCAGGGAGTGTTCACTGCAGATAATCCCCTGCAAAAATAAAGAGCACAATAAGTTAGCAGTCACAACACTTCCTAGAAAAATTATAAATAAAATATGTACGTGCATCAATGTAAGCCACATTTTTACTTTCATATGGACGCTTTCGTCACAAGTGTAATTACGTAAAATTCTGCAGATCTGTGCCACCTTTGACGTACAAAATGGCCACAATTCATGTGGATAATTGATGTAACAACAGCAAGCACCCGACATGGACAAAATGTCAACTCATGGACATTAAAACAATGAAAGTGACATTTACGAGTACATGTAATTATAAAGTTTTGGCATTAACTTACATCAATGAGGAATGTTCACATGATGTTGTTTCTGTGGATCAGTATGGCAATTGGCCCTCCATAAGTGGCTGTGCAGTTTGTTACATCCATGAGCAAAATCATGATGTCATTCTGGGCAGAACCTCAATGTTTAATTAAGCACAAAAATTTGCTACAATTGTGGATATGCTGCTGTCATAAATTTTCTTTTCGTTTTAGATTCTTTATAGTTGTGTAAGTACATGTACATGGCAGTAAGCCAATGAGCAAAGTTTTCTCACAAATGTTATCAATGAGCAAATTTTGGGTTCACAATTTGAACAGAAAACCCCTAAAGTGAACAGTGTCTCCCTAAATGACATCACAGCAACAACACATTCAGTTGTTCGGGAAAAGCATGGAAAATGTTGAATGTTTAAAGAAGTGCACTTTTCAATAAAATTAACCAAAAAGGGATAGTTTTCACACCGGCACATTTAAGAGCAAGTACAAAGTTGCACAAAAATGTGTTCCTCAGAAAAATTCATCGCATGGAACCTTTACAGCTTACATTGCAGAATCATCAGGACAGAGTGACAAATCAAATACCATTACTTTATTGAAAAAAAAGGAATCAAATTAACAATTTGGATTTCGTACGTATGTTTTTGCTGCGAAAAATCATTTTCTTTGGCAACTGCAAATTTAGCAAGCCTTATTTGAGCTCTTCACTTTGTTGCAATGTTCAGCATGTCCAATATTTGCTCTAAATGAATAAAAAAAATACTAAACATTTTCAAAAAAGTGACTTTAGTTTGTCACTGAATATGTTCATGTAGGTACAGGTTCACGTACATAACGTGATAAACAAGTCCATTAAAACTGCTTAATGGTGTGCACAAACGTCATTGAAGACAATAAAACTATGATGTTTGAATTGAAAGCAACATCTTTAAAGACTGATAATGTATTGATGCACATGATACTGTTATCAGGATAAAATTGTACTTTGTTCATCAATATGGTAAAGCGTCTATTTCTCTTGCGTGGATTGCACTGTGGCCGAGCGATTGCATATCTTCCAGTTATGAATTAATTATACATGTTAAGTGTGAAGTGTACTACTCACATCAATATACACACATATTGGATTACAATTAGCTGGAGACCTCGCATTAAAGGGAAAACGGCTTGGCCCAATCCACTCTGCTCGGACCAAAATCAGATTTATACATTTACCTTGAGGCAATGAAGCTGCAGTCTCCTCCATTGCTCAAGTGGCAAATTGTAGGTTTGGCTCCTTGTTCAACATAAGCAGTACTAGTTGGAGAACACACTGTACTGTTGTACGACGGTATCCACGTACAAACATTAGAATAATTTCAGTTTGTCAGAGGTCCGGCATAAAAAAAATCTGTCCTCTTCTTCCAATGTGCGAGGATGAATGGGAATCAGTGCAGCTGGTTTGATGAACTGGATCAATGAGATTCAATCACCAAGGCCATTACATGTTCCAAAAATGTACCGGATGAAAAAAAAAAAAATCCCAGCAGCATCAAACCACAGGATGGATACCGGGCCCAATCATGTAAAGGTCATTGCATCGTGATAGGATTAATGATTTCAGCTCTCACTGTCTTGTGCAGGTCTACCCTTCATCAGTCTACAACCAGGCATCCACGCACGCAGAGCCATGACAACCAAGCTTGTCTCATCGACGCCACTGCCTCGCATCCCAAATACCCCCGACCAGGCCCACTGCTCTGCCAGAGGCTAGAAATCTTGGCTGGAGCTTTTTCTCTGCTCTCCTCTCTCCCAAGAATAGAGCGAGGAGATGCTAATTAGGTTTTACCATGGCAACCTGCAAACACGTCCTTGGCAACCATTCAGAGCCAGTGAGAGTGAGAGAGAGCTGGGAATGTGAGTGGCCCGTACGGTTGCGTCAAGTGTGACAAGCACGCAACAATGACATGCAGTGACAGCGTCAGTCTCAACCAATGAGTGGTTCAATCACACCAACTTACAATTATCAGCATCTTGCTGATGTGCAGTCTCTAGGACTTCTTAAACAAGAGCACTTGTCTACCTGCACAAAATAGCCAGCTTAAGCCCTATTATGAATATTACTGGCAGTACATGTAGGCCTAGGCCCTGCACACACGTATACGGTACATACTCAAGCAAATACACAGATTAACAGACCTGCATCATGTTGGATGTATGTGTACATCTACCAAATTTACCGCTTTTTTTTTCTCCCCCCCCCCTAAAAAAAAAACACCCCAAAACACCACCTTAATTTCAGACTTAACAGCAGACATAGTGGGGCACAATGGAAAGTGTCAAATTGAACATTTGTATAGTTCGAACTATTTAAAACTTTTTCACATATTGGCATGGTTAATAAAAATTTGTTTTACTTTGTCCTCTCCACCCCCCCCCCCCCCAAAAAAAGAAGTGAATAACAAACCCTCAAAACTACAGCTACAAGTAGGGCCATTCAAAGTACATATACCCACATATGATAAAGGGTTTGTTTCAACTCCTGAATCATCCCTCCACACACAACAATATATCTTTGCATCATATCATGCTAAAATATTTATCGGCGTAGTTATTCTGTATAATTATGAAAACCGTGCTTAGCCAAATGGAAACTGAAACATACATGTAGGTATATAAACAAATAGGCCTATAACTGTAAAAGCTTTTAAGCACGACAAGTTGCATTGCACCAATGTGGCTGTAAACTTGTTCAATGTACCGTACTTGTGTACTTGTATTAGAAAGTTTCAATTTTACAATAACCCATACCCATGTAAATGTACCATTCTGCAACTCGTTTTTTATTATTATTCACTACATCAATAGCTGCAAAAAATGCATTCTGTTTGCAGACACTTCTCTCATAAAAGAAACTATTGCTGCAGACTTGTAAACTGCTATTTTCATTTTTCATTTTTTAGAAAACATGTCCATTACAAGGCACTTTACTTGTACACTGTCCCCCCTCCCACCTAAAAAACAAACGACTCACATATGTACATGTAAGACATCCCTTTCAGACTGTACAACTTCTTGGACTTTGCACAAGCCAACATGTCTTAATATATGTTCTTAAGAATTAAAACAGACAATTTCACGCTGCTATTCATTTGCCATCTATGAATCAAGAAATACCAACAGAAATGCAAATGAAATTCGCAAGAAAATACCAGAGTTCAGCCAAGCCTGTGCGACAGACATTTGGACCTCGGGGGTCCGTGTTCAAACATCTCGTTGCATTCACTTTCGCATACGCAATGAAAGTTTACGCAAATGCAATGGGAAAAAAAAGCTTCATCAATTATAGATGGATTAGTTGGTTGTGCGTAGACAAAGGCATACATATTTATGAGGTGAGATGCCAGCAACACTAAGCCATTTCTCAAGGAGTTGGGGACATTTGTGTGACTCTGCACCAGCCCACGGGTTATACAAATTATCACTTCCGAATATGTATGGAAGCTCTTACTAGAACATGAATTTACATGCGTGTATACGCTATACACGTAGCAAAGTCCTATCTCACTGTTGCCACGGAAATGCTACGTTTGATCTCCATGGCAACCCTAAACAATGTGTATCTCTTTTATACTGCAAGGACAGCAGCTTGAACAAAGTGCTATTGAAATTGGACGATTGTTATTAAAATCTCTAAAGCGGTCTTCAGCTGTGATTTGAATGGGGCAAATAGTGAGCAGCGCTCAGATTAATGATGTAATGCTCAAAGGACAATGGCTGTGTTAAGTGTGCGTTAACGCCGTGTTTAAATGCTGAACACACTATCATCCGCTGGCTGGCGCTGATGATGATGTGCAAATATTCACAAGCTGTGTAAAACCACCGCCAGTCGACTAAATAAACAGACAAAAAATAGCTCCCTCTTTTTATGCTGTGTACACATAAAACACATGAGCTTTACTTGCAATTTACAAATGTTTAGGTCATTTAAAAGGCATGTATCAGATTTAGTTTAAGTTTCCACTCATTACTTGATAATAAAGCAATTTTCAGAGACATGCTAAGTAAAAAGCATGAAAGTAAATTAATGTAATAACCATTTCTTTTACCATTAACTGTTCCGGTACATGTGTAGACCTACATTTAGAACAGTTATATTATGAGCCTCCCTTCACTGAAATTGAACTTCATGGATCCTGAATTACAGATTTTCAAATTTACAGATTTTATCAAGAATGGAATCAGAAACACTGCACCTTTATTGTGGATAAAGTTCAAAAATATTTGGAGAAAGCTTAACTTTGAGGCTTACCCTCAAACTCCAAATGTAATTATTGTTCATTTAATTGTCTACGTTTCCTTTTCATCCCTACAACCTCTTTGGTGAAAAAGCTGCTTTATTTTAAATGCAATAACATGCAGTTTCCAGTGATGCAAATGTTGAAATGATGAGTGCTTTTCTTCCTGGTATCTTAAAGAAAACTTGCATAAATTTGAAAAGTTTCAAATGCTCTCTCCCCTTGGTTCAATGTTTGGCATAGGAAATGCTGTCCCCAAGGTCCCTAATGTGCATGTAGCAAGCCCAGTGATGCACTCAATAATATTGTATTTGATCTATGGTTTAATCATGCTAACACCAATACTGACTCTATGTACATTCTTCATTGTCCTCCCTCAACCAATTAATCCAACAAGCTGTCCAAAGCAAAGACTTAACCCACACAAGGGTAAATACGCCTTCAAGATCAACGCCTAGGTATGTGAAATATTGGTCACTCCTATCTCCTCAGGTCCCTGGCAAATTCTTCTCCCAGCCACTAACATCAGCTGGGGTAGAAAATAGAGAGCTGAGGTAATCAGTTCTTACACCTGCCTCTATGAATCAAGCAGACCAGGACAAATGGTGCTGCTTGCCACATCATGATAAGCCTGCATGCCTGGATCTATGGACAATCCAAGACAGAGGATGCTGCACACTGAATGTTGTGTTAAATTAGTGGAGAGATGGAGGCCAGGGTCTGGACTGCAAGTCCTTCTAATTAGTTCACTGATGTGCAGTTTTGCTGCCTCAATTTTAAACGGAAAAATTAATAAGGGAAAAATTAATTACCATAGAGACACACACTGAGATGTTCCTATTTGTACAGATGTGTTCGTAACCATGAAAACACTTTTTCAGATATGCCATTAAAAGGACAACCAATTTTATGCAAATATTACGTACATGTCATTATTTGCATTTTCCCCAGAATCCGTTCCTGAGTGTGGTTTTAAAGAATTGATTTAACTTGTATTTTCAGCTCCTTTGTCTAAATACATGTATATGACTTTTTTAAAGTAAAATTTTTAAGTTGCTCTGTCATACTTTTCAACATAATAGATTTTTGTTTCTCCTATTAACAAATTACAAATTTGTCAGTTTTATTTTCAATGAATCTTTTTCTATTGTGGACCTTTATTGTTAGTTGCTATTGCTCCTACACACAAAAAGATATGCCTGAATTATTGTCAAGCTACAAATTATTCAAAATTTGTATAGAAAATATGCCATAACTAAACATGGGTGGATCTTTTCTCATTCAAAGTGTAGGCCTATAACTTTTGTATTGCTAGAAAAAAAACAGCAAATTCTAAACAACTTATTTTTCGGTTTGAAACTCAACAATAACACAGCCCTGGCAAGCAACTTTACAGTTTCAAATTCTGTGTAGTATCTCTTGGCAGAAAAGCCTTCTCTTACTTTGACTGTTGCATGAGAGTGTTGAGACACCTACTCTGTCTTATTATTATCAGTCAAACAAGGCAGCCCAGCCTGCTTGAAATAGAATATGACTCAATTGGGGTTGGAATTTATGATAGGGCAGGCAGCAAGGTGTTAATTGACAACTTAGGCTTAAAACAAATGTAAGGCAATGGGACAGGGTCAAACTTTTTTCTTTTTTACCCCTTTTTCTGCATTTTCGTGATGGAAATACTTTCAATTATTATAATTTAAAGCGATCACTGTATGTTCAGTGAGAGTTTGTGAGGAAAGTTTTACTTAGCTAGGAATAATCTCCCGTTATTTACTGCACACACGTAAACCAGCACTTAACCATCATGCTCGTGGGAAAGGCTGGCCTATTCAAATTAAAGATGTGAAATGGTTTCTAGATTAACTGTTGTGTTGCTGGATCAACTATTTAATGAACTCCCTGTATTGTGTTTGTCAAAATGAGATTTTTCCCCATTTTTAAAAACAGTTTATGAGTGGACCTAAAATACTTTTCATACTTGTACATGTGTATGCATGGACCTTTTGTTTTTTTCAATACCAAAGCTACCATTACTACAACATAAAATGCATCCTGGCTAACAGGATTATAGAATCAATTTATGATAATTGTTGTAATTCCATGACATTGGATGAACACTGTGAATAATGTGTATCAGCAGTGTAGGTTTTTTTCACACCCCAATGTCCAGGACTGTTCCAACAAGAGATCCTGGCAAGGGAATTTTGTTAATTTGTTCAGGGAAAATATCACCAAGAAAGACAGAGCTATACAGTGGGTGGAGTTGGAGTATGTTAGCACCGGTGCCCTGATGGCTAACGACGCACACTGGCTCTTGAGGATGTTTGAATCCTGCTTGACTGGTACTCTGCTTGACTCCGAGCACTCCTCCGACACAACTAGGTGAAGGGCATGACATGATGGATGTCTTTCATTAAAACCGATACGCAGTGGAGAGCACGCTCCTTAAAACCACGCACCGTGAAATCAAAAAAAGACTTTCTCTCACAATGCTTCAAAAGCAGCAGCACTACAACAATGATGTTAAAAATAGTATTTGAAACAATGCAACAAAATGTATTTCCCATTATTTAATTTCCTTTGTTTTTAGGTTGTTGCCTTTACTCAAATAAAAAAATAAAATAACTTGTATAATATTCAGGCAAGTGCTTTAACGCAATACTGTGAGTAACCATATGAATTATGACCCAGAGTACAATTGCAATTAAATATTCAGG